TGTGTGTGTGTGTGTGTGTGTGTGTGTGTGTGTGTGTGTGTGTGTGTTTTTAAGAACTTTTAGTAAGATATTTTTTGGCTGTCCATGGACTAACACATTTATATGATGAGTGACTGCTGTGATGCCTTTAAATATTTGAGGTTCTTTTATTCTGAACTTTTCAAATTCAGCTGACTTTCTCTGAGCCTTTCACTTCATAATTTTCTGTATTTGTTTAAAGACTTCTTCTTGGCCTCAAAAGCCTAACTTTTTCTTTACCATGCTGTGATCTCCCAGTGCTGAAATTGACACAGCAACAGATGATGCCATAATACAGAGCTCCTATTTGGAGCATGATGCCTCTTCTATAGTATAGTATAAGATTAGGAATATTTGGGGATTGGGATGAGAATGGAGAGGGTTAATGCTCTTCCCCTGAAACTTGCAATATTAGCCACTGTTGGAGGCAAGTTCCAGGCTATGTGGAACGTTCTTTTGGGGCATGACCATGTCCTTGTGCCATATATGAGCTGAGACAAATCATGATGCTTCTGTAATCAAGTTTGTGAACTCTTGAAATTAGAAATGAATCTATTGGGGAAGGAGTGTTAAATCTGGGGAGGGGAGTGTGTTCAATTTCCCCTCTTGTTGCTACTCCTTGAGTAATGTCTCCGTGGTCCTTTGTGCCATGTGAAAGAATAGGAAGATGGAATGAAAGCATTTGATATGGAATTAAACTTGCTGGTATTCTTGGGGGAAGGGAGAAGTATTTAAAGAAACTATAACCACTGTATCTAACTTCAAAGAACAAACAACTAAAAATGTGTTTTTTAATTTATTGAAGAATACTTACAGGAAGCTGCCATCCTGAGTCTGATGTAGAGTAAGAGAATCCAGGTTCTGTTTGAAAGCACAGAGAAGACAGTGGTCTTCAAAATTGTAAATTCTACTTTTAAAATGTTTTGATAAATGTAAGTGTTTGTTTAAATCAGTTGTTAATTTTTTGGGGACAATTTAAGAGTTTACTCTTACATCTCAGAAAGTTGCTGATTTCCCATTATTTTAAATGGGATGTGAATTTTCTGTCCTATTGTACAATATGTCTTTCCTCCTCTTATAAAATAACAGCTCATTTCATTGTAGACAGACATATTGAGTCTCACTCGAATACCACATGAAGTAATGGAGAACATTGCACTTACTGTTTATGAATCTGTCAATATGTAGAAAGAGTGCACTTTTTACCTGCTAACAATAATCTTAAAGTACTTTGAACAAGTGGATGATACTGTTAACCCATTTTACAGGTGAGGAAAGAGGCACAGAGATTAAATGATTTGGCCAACATCTCATAGCAAGTCAGTTGACCTAGAAATAGAAGGATGCTTCCAGTCCTATGCCTTGTCCAGTGGAATGGGCTATAATGGACGTCTTTAAAAATTGCTCTGGTAATCAATTTTTAATAATAGTTAGCTAAATATTTACCAAGTAGTAAAGGTGTTAACCAGAAAGAATCATAGTCATTTTTAATTGAAAGTGTTAAGGCTTTTCCATTAACTATTGATTGCACCCGTGTTTGTTTAACCTTTGAGGGTTCTGACATAGGCAGCCTGCTGTAGCAATGTGTAACACTTTATGCTGTACGTTTTCTGGTCCTTGGCAGCAAAATTTGTAGTCAATAGGTCTGGGCATCAACTACTAAGTAGGCTTGCCAGAGCATGTAATCCAGTTAACATGTTTATCAGCAGCATTCTTATTTATACAGTACGATGGCTGTGTATAGTATTTTGCAGATAAATAAAAATGAGGCTCCTATCTCAAGGATCTTAAAATCCAAATTAGACAGCATAAAGCTAGGAAGGACGAATGAGGAGAGGGTTGGGAGGACAAAGATTGTAACCATGAATATCAGGAGATATCAATGTTAAGTATGATGATCTAGATCTGATACGGTTGTTTGCAGTGAATAATTCAATTGAACCCCTGTGTCTGTTGGTAAATTATCCATGATTTGATTTTCACAAGTTTACTCATTATTCAATGAAAAGTTTATGCAAATGTACTTCAGCCTCTAGAATTTGTTGTTCACACTGTTCAATGGGTCTTTCGAGTCCCATGAGTACTGCTTCTCCCAGATCCATACAGAGCCTTCAAAGATGGCTTAGCAAACCCTCTGGTGACAATGCTCATGTGAATATATACCTGCATGAGAGTATACGCAATATTTTCCCTTTATGTAAACTTACTTCACAACAAAAAACAAGGAAAAGAGATCTGAATATGATTGATGTGAATTCTTGAATTTTATTTAAATTACTGTTTATATTTTTGCAGTGTTCTCAGCTCTCCTATCCATCCACACTGTGTTGATTCCTCTTTTCATAGCTGCAATTGATTAAACTGGAGATTGAGATTACAGGAATTCACAAGAGAACATACTACTTCTCTGTACTTGTATTCTTCTGCATTTCTTTACATATCAGCTCACTGTAGACTGAGCAAAGTCACAAATTATCCAGATCCATATGCATTTTTGATCTACCTACAACTGTAGTTGCCGTTCTTTTTGGCTTTGTATTAACTAAAAATTGAATTTAAATTTACATTTCCTTTAGTTTGTTTAGGAAAATGTTGAATAATAGCTGCAGTTTTGAAGTGAGGATTCATTAGATAATATTTTGGTCAACTGAAGATTGTAGAATCCCACGTAGCTGGAGCTTTCATTTGGCATTTATTGATAAGATTTTATACCTTGACCACTTTATCCGGAATGTACTGCTGACTTGCCTTTGACAAGCAATTTTCACCAACTCAGAAGTTTATTTTGATCCAGATACCTGTGTATTTTTGGCATAAAATACTCCCTAACAAAGCTAGTGAAACAGTTATCCAGTGTAACATTTTTTCACTCATGAAAAGAACACAAGTGACGCAATTCCAAGTTCAGATGTTTTAAGGCTGAAGGGAATTTAGATTTCCCAACAACAGAGATTTTAACGTGCTACTCGCCAATTGTACTGGAGCATCTAAGAAACATGACTCAATCTTTGTTTCTTGCAGCTAGGAGCTCTTTTCTGCTGAACTGCCAGAGTTTTCCATGGAAGTGACTTGGCATCCACTCTTGCTTGCATTGTGAATATAATCTTGAGTTAGATTGTGTGCACGATTCAACCCTATTACAACTTCTCTTAATTTGTCCTGGAAGTAGAGAGCAGTGATGTTAGATTTATTTATACAGCGTCTCATAAGAACGGCCATACTGGGTCAGACCAAAGGTTCATCTAGCTCAGTATCCTGTCTTCCGACAGTGGCCAGTGCCAGGTACCCCAGAGGGAATGAACAGAACAAGTAATCATCAAGTGATCCATTCCCTGTCGCTCATTCCCAGCTTCTGGCAAACAGAGGCTAGGGACACCATCCCTGCCCATCCTGGCTACTAGCCATTGATGAACCTATCCTCCATGAATTTATCTAGTTCTTTTTTGAACCCTGTTATAGTCTGGGCCTTCACAACATCCTCTGGCAAAGAGTTCCACAGGTTGACTGTTGTGTGAAGAAATATTTCCTTTTGTTTGTTTTAAACCTGCTGCCCATTAACTTCATTTGGTGACCCCCTAGTTCTTGTGTTATGAGAAGGAGTAAATAACACTTCCTTATTTACTTTCTCCACACCAGTCATGATTTTATAGACCTCTATCATATCGCCCCTTAGTTGTCTCTTTTCCAAGCTGAAAGGTCCCAGTCTTATTAATCTCTCCTCATACAGAAGCCGTTCCATACCCCTAATGATTTTTGTTGCCCTTTTCTGAACCTTTTCCAATTCCAATATATCTTTTGAGATGGGGCAACCACATCTGCAATATTCAAGTCATTTAGGCCTAGATTTTAAAGGTATTTACATATGGCTTTGCTCAGCATTGCAAAGTCTGAGTGACTTAAATGTCTGAATCCCATTTTCAAACACAGTTTAGTACCCTAAGTCTCATTGACTTTCAGTGAGACTTAGACTTTTGAGGGATGTCTACACAGCGAAGAAAAACCCACGGCTGGTCCATGCCAGCCAACTGGGGCTCAGGCTGCAGGGCTGTTTCATTGCTGTGTAGATTTTGGGGCTCAGGCTGGAGCCTGGGTTCTAGGGTGTGGGAGGGTTCCAGAGCTTGGGCTCCAACCCAAGCCCAAAAGTCTACAGAGCAATGAAACAGCCCTGCAGCCTGAACTTGAGTCGGCTGGCATGGGCCAGCCGTGGGTTTTTCTTTGCTGTTTAGAGGTACCCTACGTCATTTTTGAAAACAGAACTTTTAGTCCTTCTGTATCTCAGCTTCCCATTATACAGATGGGGATAATAGCACTTCCCTACTCACAGAGGTGTTGAGGATAAATGTATTGAAGATTGTGAGGTGCTCAGATACTACAGTGACGGGGGGCCATGTAAGTACCATAGTCT